CCGGTGGGCAAGCGAATCTCCAGTTTTCAGCCACATCGACATCAAAGCAGCGCCAGGGTGCCAATGCCGCACAGTTATAATTAGATAATAGAGTGAGCTGACGAGGCCTGTCCGATAAACCAGACTCAAACTCCTGAGTCAAGTTATCGAATTGCTGTTAGTCTGAGAGAGGGAGCGAAGTGACTCCTGTTTTTGAAAGGTCTTCTACTAGCTACCCACTGAATGGCAATCTTTTCAGAATGGATGAAATGTATAACAGTAGCGAAAGCAAAAATGCCGCCTGTCTGCTTACGCCGCGACGTTAAAAGCGAAAAACTCACAGCTACCTAGGGCCTCGGTAACTAAAGCAGAGCCTCACAAATCACCGACATACCTTTCCACTTAGTATCCTGTGTTATCAAGCATTATACGCCCAAACAACTCTGATCTTATTTGAACAACGTAAAGAAAACAGCTACTAAGGGTAACACTTCTCTTTTGAGTTTAGAATTACTGCATACAGCTGCAGATAAAAGTTACTTGGCTACGCACTTCACAGTGTTGTGGAAAGGAAGGACAAACTTTTGACGGTTGGGGAACTTCAACGGCCTTATTTTGAAACATACGCAATACTTGAAGCGCATGAACACTGATTGTTGGTTGGATGTACCTTATGTACCTTATGAAGTCATCCTGTTGGTGTTAACCTTACTGGGTCGGTTTGAGCGCTTTGACGTCCACTAATCGAAAGTCAGTTTGATGGCCAGATCCATGCAGTGATGCTGTCAGAACAAGTTCGAACAAGCGGAAAAAATTCGCGTCTTACAAACACAGAGGCCAGTTACTGATTTTACGCCATCCCGACCGTTTGGAACACTTCTGGATAGTGAAAAGTTGCTTCGGTTTCAGAGTATGGCAGTCACACCACTAGAAAAACCCACCGATGGAATTAATCCCAATTCGTCGACTGGCACTAGCTCCAATAACGAAGATCTTGCCAAGCAATCCATTAAGTATAACAACCAACACTGCTAGATAGGTGTTGATACGGCCTCAAAATTAAAAATACCCATTAGGAGATGCAGATCTTTATTAGAATTGTCCCTGGTCTCTCCTATCCTGGAGTTCTTGTGTTTAATTGTTCATAGTTGAACCTAAACACAAGTGTGACTTTTTTCAGGGTCCTATACATATGATGGTGCCAAGAATGAATTATTGCAATGGCGAAGGGATCAAATCCAAAACCAACCAAACGCCTTTGTTTTACATTCGGCCTCCAGTAGCCTTTACTCCGTCATTCAGAAAACGATCACCTTACGACAACTATTCAAAAGAGGTGAAATACATACGAAAGGATACACGGGAATACCGGTTTTGGTCTGAAAAGTAATGAGTCCTCTCGCACTGGACAGATGAAAAGACAGTCCTCATGTTCGCTACGACCACAGCAGTCTTGCAAAGACATGGAGGATCTTACAGCAATCAAATAACGCTGTCAGACTTGAATCTAACTACTAGGTTTCTACGAAAACCCATCAGGAAATCACCTCTCGGGAAAATTTTGGGAGGTCACTCAGCTTGGTGGCGATACGTTACCACCAAAATTTCAGACCGTCAAATGAGTCAAAGACCGTAACGGTGAAGCTGAATCTCTTAGACACCATGATGCAATATCGGCCAGGGGACAATTGCGTTGGGCTGCAGTATATACAATCATAGCGAAAATCTTGTCTTCCCGCTGGATGACAGATACTATAGCAACCGAGAAAGTTAGGTTCTGCAGATGCAAAGTTCGAGTGAACATTCTCACCACTGCACAATCCTTCATTTAGATGAACCATTCGCATACACCCACACCACTCTCGTTTAAACGATCCACCTCCTAATCTGGTACTGGCACCTTAGTTCGCTCGAAACTAGCGAACATTCGACTGAGGTTTTGCAAGTTGGGGGCTCACGAACCATCATAACTAAACGGACGAACATAATCGAACCTTGTGCGATACGTCTCGCCGGTAACGAGCCAGCAGTTGTCCTCTTTGTGAAACTCTGCTGACCAGCCTTTCATGAGTCTTCCCCTTGGTTCGTTTTAAAATTGCCGACAGCACGACATGCTTGGTCTTGGTGTCGGTTTGGGAGAACTGCAACCTAGTGTTGCCGAATGTAGTCAAAGTTGGATGCAGATATTACAAGTCAAAATTGTAAACAAATATGGGCGGCTATTAACGTTGCACGTAGAAAATTCTTGGTAGCCGTATATTAGTGGGTTGGACCACTGGTACCAGGAACTCTCTGAGTTCGTAAGTCTATGCCACAAGCCCAATAAAACACTAATATCCAGGCCTTGACTTTCGTGCTACATGGTTAGATTCTCAAACTTGCGCGAGAAGCCGTTTGAGCCAAGTATCGACCAGTGACGGGAAGTTGCCTACCATATTGTTTAGATGGGTCATTTTGATTCGGATGTTACGATACCACCAGTCTCATCGCACCTAATTCCGGTGATGTAAGCTTTTGAGTGCTCCCAATATAGGAGGTGGCAGCTTCCGCTAAACCGGGGAGCATGGACAACTGGTCACGCGCAACATACCTGAAAGATACAGCAATGACTGTTTACTTTCTACTGTGCTCTAAGGTTGCTACTTTTAAGCCCTGGTAAAGTAAGTCTCAGTTGGGCTTTTTGATAAAAAAAATATACAATCGTGGAGTACATCCTGCAGACTTGTTGAAGATGTGCAGCAAGGCGCTGACCTGTTGAACTCGTATTGCTATGATTATGTGACGAAGCATTTTCGCTCATCATACAAAAATTAACTATCTGATTCTAGTATCACAACATTTGACGGCTTTGATATACGGTTTCTCTAAAGCATGCGGCCATACTCAAGCGGTACAGCCGTAATTTGTCTGGCCGTCTCAGTTTAACACAGAATGTGAATTCGCAACCACACAGAAAGTACAACCGTTTCCACAAGACTCTATTCGCTCACAACAAAGCCGTCTCACTGGTAGCAGTGGGTTGCTGATGGGCGATTTACACTGTACCAAGATAATGACGATCCCCTTAACACTACCTGGAGAGCCTCTTTTAAGACGAAACATACCGTCAACGAAGAATTCGTATAGATAATTTTAAAAAAAACAATAGACTTTTCAAACGAACACTGGCAATAACGCGTGAGTCAACTCACGATGTGTTGGTCTCTATCTCCAAAACTGACTGATTTTCACGAAAAGCAGGAAAGCCCGGTCGTAATGGGACTAGGGAATCGTTCCCACTCATTTGCTTGGCTGCAATATGGTTCATCGATTACCGCCGGGCTATTCATTATCACATTGGCAATGTACTACCAGGTGGCTCCTGGTAAAAAGCGCACTGTTCTATGCTTGGGGAAGTACGGTACTACGCCGAAACTGAAAGGAACTGAGGAATGACGCCGGCACCTCGATGACACAGATAACCAGTGCGGATGTCTGTAGTTATGCCACCATGCGTAGGTTGGCTGCTTACTTGCAACAGAACTCTGCACGCTTCCTTGAAATGACATCGGCTCCAAGGGATTGCGCCCAGCATCACATTTGGCTAAGCGCAAAATGTCTACGGTTTTCTAGTTGGCGCAGGCGTCCAGTGGTTTGACCATTATTGACGCGCAAATACGATTCGGATGGAAGCTCCTTATAATAAAGCAGTGTCAGAACAACCTGGAATTCTTCCTCCATTACATATACAAACAAATATCCAAGTCTCTCGAACAATTTAGCCATCAAGAGGCCCAATACGATCAGTTTTTTGGCCGAGTCATTAAATAATGAACACCGGACAGTATCGCTTTGACTACATTTGGACGAAGCTTTGTCGATAACTTTTGCTCACGATCGAACAAAACATTTTGCTTACGTTTTCAACAGGCTTGTCCCGAGTGAGAAAGAGCAGAAAGAGGGCACAGGATTCAAAATCTCACTCACCAGGTACCAAAGCGGAACACCACGAGGAACAGTTGAGTTGTTGATCATTCAACTTCTGAGTTTTCAAAGCCCTCCCACAGCGCACGACTAAAGTTGCCTAGAAGAAATACACTCAGCTACAGATGAATTCAGTTTTAACTGGAAACCACACTGAATCCCAGTCTAACCTCTCACTTACGGCACTATTCAACCCAACATGCTGCATAAAGGAAGCAGTTGGTGCAATATTCGACACACCAAAGTGCACTTTCTTGACACAGCTGACACAGCACTACACAAATCATAAAGCAGTAGAAAACCCCACTACCGGTTTTATCCTTCTTGAGGCACATCAGCTGGTTGGAGTTTCCCTAAACCTTATGTTCCACTTGGACACCAAATTGTACGAAATACTCTCAGTTCACCAACCTTATAAATGGGGTTATGTCCAAGAACACCGTGCTAGCTGAAACGCGAGGTATCTCGTGTACAGCACGAGATTTTTCCTCAAATGAACACCAACCTAATTTGCAAATGAATGTATTTCACCACTTGGGCGCAGCTTGGTGTCTAACCCGAAAACAAAGTTGATGAATAAACAAGCACTTCGCCTACCTGATGAACTCCAAGAAAGGCAAAACCGACAGGGGATTTCTCAGCAGCCTTATAGTTAACGGAATGTGTTAAGAAAGCTATCAGCTTCGTCAGACGAGGAATAACCACTCATTAGTTTCCACGGAGGCAGGCGATCTTGTCCGATATTAGCGGGACATGTAAAGAGACCCCGTAAAGGTTGGTTGTACGAGGTCTTTCAACCTTAATTGCACCCCTACTGTCTGTTGTGGCATTTTATTCGGGAGGCGTGTGGTAGTGGCCTCAACGACCTGAGGCTGCCAACCAAAATGTTACCTGACCGATGCATCTGAGCCAATTTGGTGAGCCCTAACAAGACCGCAGGATACCCAGCTTTTCGGGGACCTATCCGCAAATAGTCATTGAACCTCACTGATACCGAATAAATCTGCATGATCGCGCGAACAGCTACTTGAAAGAAAGCGAATGTGAAATAGTCTATCTTCAAAAGTAAAAAAAACTCATACACGTACGTCGTGATGCTTAATACTGCCATGCTAGGTTGTAAACGCTGCACATAAGGAAATAAGTTTATACTACTCACAAGCAGCCAACAGATCCAGCATACACGAAAACAAGTGAAACTTGCAATACCTTGCAAAGTACAAATTCTCCCAGATACCAAACAGGGCGAAGAAAGAGGAATGGCTCAATAGAAAATATGCAATCAGAATGTATGGTTGCGATGAAAACATCGACCTCACAGTGTCACTTCCAGATACAAAAGAAGAGCGTACAGAAATAGTGATATTATCTAGGTGAGATAAATCTGTTTTTCCACTTCTCTTCGTAAAGCAGTGTTTTCCTTCCGAAGTTCAAGCAGTATCGAAGATAGTTGAGCCAACTTTTTTTCTACTCTTCGTTCCAATCGATAAAGCTGGTGAACCACTTTGTCTAAACGTGCATCCGAATTAGATTTGTTGACTGGCATTTCCAAACAATTTACTGTGTGATCTGGAACGCCATCGGAATCGAAAATGGGACTGAAAACAGGTGGTAACTGTGTAGATATCTCAGAAGAAATTGCCTCTTTTGGTAGGCACGAAGGATCGGGTTCTGACCTGGATGAAACATCAAACTCGACAGGCGAATCGGAATCACGAGCTTCCTTGTGGTCCGATGAATTATCAGGCATTGAACAAAGACGCTTAGTGGAGTGCTCCGGTGACAAACCATGTTCAATGTTGGTTAAGTTTTTAAGTGAACGCCCTGATTCCCTACCACCTGCCATTTTGAAACAATTAGCCACTGGGTTTAGGTTATCCTTGCCATTTGGAGACGCAACATGGTTTAAAAACAATAAGAACTGGACAGGAGCGCTTCCACGAGTTGCCAGAGTACAGAACGGAGTAGACATATTGCGAGCGTCATAAAGCCAGATGCGCCCATCTGTAAGACTAGTGGCCAGAGTGAATCCGTCCAACGTGACATCATTTGACAGATAGCCGACACCTGGCTCAGAAATGGACAGGGTATGTATAGGATCTACCGTAGGCTTCTGACTTTCCACCTTCCACATACGTAGACGTAGATCAGGTGATCCACTAGTGAACACTGTACGTGAGGTACTCAGAGACCACGTGATACAAAATAACTCACAAGAGCATGAGTCGGGGCGTGGAATGAAGTACTGGAAGTATAGATGATCGAGAGTGTTTGGTGACAGTGGCCAATCCAAGCGCCACACAACGAAGTGACCTGTAGAATAGCCAGCGGCGATCAGTGCAGTGTCCAAGCGAGATGTACAAACGGTCAAACATGATGTTTTTTGTGACCCGCTTGCGGTATTGGCTTGCGGAACCGGGAGGATGGACAAACTGGGATCGTTGTTCTCTCCATCTGGGGCTAAACACACACATATATCGCCTGTCCGCGTTCCGATAACCAGCAGTCTATCACAAAGGGCCCATGTGATGCAGGTTGGCACAAAGAAGGTGGAGAAAGATGACCTACAGGGTATTCGAATTTGCAGGGAAAGTCTCTTCAGTGATAAGTCATAGACGTCCACTTTACCGTCTGTACGCCCTACAGCCAACTGATACGAACTACCTCGTAGCGGAAACGCAAAACAAGTGGCAGAGAGACGACCAGTTCTGGTGACCCCTGAGTTGAATGCTAATTCATCATCAAAGAGGTTGTACACGTCAGTTCTGTTGTGTAAATCATCGGAACGGATTTGAATACAAGGTGCTGAGAGTGGGTTTGTCTGAAGTGAGATCAGCTTAGATTCACATGGATCCCATGCTAACCGACTGTATTTGCAGGACTGGATAAGTTTGGACGATGCAGAACAATTCAAACCTGTAGAGCTGGCAGGTGGTAGCGACCACATGTGAATCACAGAGCCTGAACCAGAAACCAAGGACATTGGGCTGGAATCCGACAGTTCTTCGGACGAGCCTGCTGGAGATAGAAGAAACATGAGGGGATTCAGTCATTTTCTACATCCCACACTGTGGTGGACGATTTAACAGTTTACCAGAAATCACAAGCATGGAAAACCCTGACAGATATTTCAAAAAGCATTAAAAGGATAACAAAACGCCCTCGATTGCAAATCCTCGGCTGTTACACCTTGAAAGACACTTACCCGCAGCTAAGTTTCAAACTCGGTTGATCGGTAAATGAGACACCAATCAGTGCTCAATATTGAAATACTCGTTTTTTCTCCTCGTCTCTATAGCAATCAGCTCCATTACATACATCGGTAGTTACACTAGCTATGACGGAAGTGTGTCTGATGAACTCAGTTTATGGATCTCAAGGAGAGAGCCACGTTTGCTAATTTGCGTCAAAAAGGCATATCACTGGGTCTCAAGGGTCGAGCACATTAAGGGACGAGTTGATTGTGAAACATGGACTCAGATTTTCGACCACTTTGACGCTTCAGAAGCGTCACTGGTGTCGGTGTCAATGAATTCATAGCGAGGTAATTAGAAAATGGCTACCTGATTAATCAGCAGGTACTCCAACCGTGGAAAACATCTATCACCGTCCACTGCAGTGTCTCAGCGATGTACTACACATGCCTAAGCACCGTCTATTGAGAAGAGTGCTGCTTTCCGTGCCTCCCTCAGTATAGCGCAAACCGCGAGGTGGACATTTATAACCTGGTAGAATAATGCGAGATTTCGGGAGTTGTTGGTGAGGTAGGCCATCCTAGACGATGTCGCAGTGATCCCTCATGCGCCTGGTTGGAGACATTGCACGAAATGGCGGATGGCCGATGCCAGTTTCTCTCCAGATTGTCTGACTGAGCACTTGGAGATGAAGGTACTTCAGAATTCTCGCCTGTATCAGGTCCCCTCACTCACACACTCTACTCTCTTCTTCACATTCTAACGCTTTAAAAGTAATTATATAAACGTTATGGTTGTACGGCAGTTAAGCCTCAGTGCCAACACTGGTGTTGCTATTTCTGGTTATTGTTATCATTGTCCAAGAACTCTTGCAATGAGCCAGATTCATGAATTCCATAACTAACGGCATCCGAGTTGGTGTTAATTCACTGAAGTTGCAAAGACAACCTTTCACGCATTACGTTATTTACTGGCACCAATGGATCGGATGCGCGATCGCTTATACACCAAGCACTGAGAGCAGTAATTATCACACCCCATCCTCATAGATTCTTGGTGTTGGTAAAATAAAGACCATCTATTCGTCAGAAACTCACCAGTAATACTCTGAAGTAGCACATGTAAGACAGTTATAACCTTAGTGATAGCAATAGGTGACACCACTACTAGTCGCTCACTTTACCCTGTAACCACAGTACGGCCTAGTAAATTCATTTCTACGGTCCAACATACATGTAAGCAGCAGATTTTACAGCGACATGGCTTAACATTAGGGACAACCGCTGCTCTTGGCTGCGTAACCGTGCCAAGCTCATTCAGTTCTACCTCCTACGGTTCACGATACTGCAGAATCTGGTGTGAAATCAGAACCGTTTACCGTGTCCTTACAACCACCCCACAGTCAACCTGGTATACGGTATACTTTAGCGATGCCGTGGCAAAGGATATGTAAAGGAGTCACGACGGTTGATTTCACGCCCAGAATTTATTTAAGTTGATCAATTCATATTCCTACGTAACCAGCACTGGCCATATGAAGTTCGTGTTAGTCAACATTTAACCAGCCTTACTCCTCGAAAACACTCGCAAAGTTACTTGTTGGGAAGTCGTTCGTTCAGAAGAGATGCCGTCTGAGGGAGTTGAGTACAGCTGCATGTAGGAAACCTCGCTGGAATATAGTGATTCAAAGGCATCACCAACAGTTTTATGAATAAGAGCAACTCAAAACAAGCACTGGGATGGCGCACTGTGATTCTATCCAAAACGAAACGCGCCAACAACCTCGAATACAACAAACAGTGCACGAAAACTTTGGCTGCGATTTTGTCACTTCATCTACACGGATTAGTCAGAGAGCTACCAAAACGGAGGCTTAGTTGGGGAACGCAGAAAATAGGAAAACACATTGATCCAAAGCGAAAAAAGGTGAGAAGACCGCCACCAGCCACTGGGCGTTATACTGCATTTCAGTGGCACAAAACAGCCCAGCAGATTCACGGAGAAAGCACCCATGACTTTATGGGTAGGTGTGCTTCAGTGAACAGCTTATATAAAAAAACCTTCCTATGCTGTTGTTTCTAAATTCTCCACGATACATGACAAGAACGGTAACACTATCTCATAGTTCGATCATACTCGCCAGTTTCATTTACAAAACACGTGAATGACGTGAATGAAATCTTTACACTCTCGCCGAAAGGTTGTCGTGAGATGCTGTTGAAATGTGAAAATTTCGGAGCCGTCAAGCACTAAATACTGTTCAAACGTATTTTCTTGGACATCACAGTGCTGGTGAAAAATGCCTTTCTTGATAACAGAACGAAACGACTGTCACTGAGTACTGTCCAGCTGACGGATACATTTCATAAACTATAAGTTTTCTCCGAAGCGCATTCAACTCAGCTGAAGGTTTGTTCTTCTTAAAACACTTGCCCACCAAGGAATGTCACGGAAGTTTGTATTCTCAGACTTACGGACGTGTGAGAGTGTACGGATAGCTCTCCAAAAGCTTCCGTACATAAAGCGGTGTCCGTCAAGGATGCCCACTCTCTCCATTTATTTCTAACTTCGTGATCGATGAAATAATGAGACGAACGCCGGAGGATCTCCAAAACCCTGGTGTTCAAATAGCCTGTAAAGAAAACCTACCACAAACCTCTTCCATGAAAAGTCGTAGATTTCATTAGAATTCTGGCCTTGAATGTATCGTACGATATCCCACAAGTCTAAGCCTGCATACACTGTACACATGAAGTTCACAACAATTCAACAATATGATTTGAAAACCAATATTTGATGCGGCCTGCTGAAACTGATATTCGACATACGTCAGGACAAACAAGGCGTGGGTTCTGTTTTTCTCATTGATAATTCAATCAACTGACATGTTCAGGCAGTTGGTCACTTCTTACGAATGCTGAGAAACCAATTTTGTCCGTTTTTTGTCTCTTGAGTAAACTACCACGAGACTAGACAAAATGTTCACTTTTCAGCTCACAATAATACTGAATGGAGTATCGAAGAAGGGTAGCATAAAGCATACACTACTAGGTTCTAGCCGGAAATATTGAGTATAGGGAAACACAGAACTTCCTGACTTGACGCCCGAATACAACAACGCGTAAAACGGAAATCGCTGATTAATAAAATGAACAACACCACTTAACCAACAAAGAGCTACGCACACTGCTGAGGTAGTTGCGGCGGTGCATCAGAAGTTTCTGAGTGCGAGTTGACAGGGCTTTCTTCTGTTTGAGTAGTTGGGGGAGCTGCGTCTCTGCTGAAGAAAAATAACAATAATGAAGGTTACATTCAGCGCAAATGCTACAGAGTAGTCGCTGATGAGCCTGCACACACAGCCATAAGTCTATTTGATGAGCTAAACAATTTGGTTGCAAGCGCCCCATCATTATGACTATCAACGCCACCGACGTCACCATCATCGATAGCGAGACAGACGAGGAACACTGGTACTACACTGAAGTACAGTCATTTCGATTACTTGAATAAAGCTCTATAATTGGACAAAAACACGACAGTTGCAACCCCCGGAGCACCTGAACTTACAGCGACAGCACTTTCGTAGCATCCTTTATTCCTTTTCGTCATATATTCTGTCCACCTGTGAGTTTCCTTCAACACAAATTGAGTACGGAAAATAACGTCCCTATCGGTAGACGACGACTTGGCACAACTACAACATGAGCGGGTCATCCAGGGTTGCAGTGCTGGATTCAATCCTCGTTTCTGAATCGCCTCATTGCGAACCCCTACCATAGGTATAAGATGACGCTGGTCAGCGATCGGATGACGTTTCAAATCTTTTAACCACACAACAATTCAGCCCGCACTGTAGTCAGATACACGAGTCCACTGGTGCCGAACGATATCTTTCTTGAGTGACAACAGTTGGCAAACACGGCCCTGGCCTTTAAGATTCGTACACCAATTTCGCCTGTCACGCCATCGTCAGAGCTGAATAACTATAATTAAGTCGTTCATGTGTAACACCCTTTCGCGGGGCCTAGCTGCCATGCTAGCTAGCAAGAGGTCATGGCTACTGCCAGGTTAAACATGCCTAGACAGAAGTCAAAATGCACAGGTCCAGTTCGAACCACGGACATTCCGCTCAGTACATTTGCGCTCTAACCACTGAGCCATCAAGCCTCCAATTTAATGCAGTTTCATGATTATCGACAGCACATCATCAATGTCCAACACTGATACCTCGTTGCCGGATAAACACAATTTAAATGGACGGGTACGTTGTGAAAAAAGGAATAAAAATAAACGAGGAAAGGACTTTATGCAAACCCACCAAAACCAGACACAGAAAAATGAATAAAGACTGACAACCATAACGCCATTCATATCGACTAGCAGTCATTTCTTCCAGCATCTCCAACCACACACTGGGGGATAACGCAGATTACACTTTAGAGGGCGAATCGAATCGACAGCATGCAGATGTTTCGTAATCGCTTTTACACATCGCTGCTAGCCCAAAGGACTTCCACCTCCCTACTTGTGACACTCTGAGTTGGACGCAAAAAACAACAGCTTTTCGTAGAGCATGATTTTCAATGCGCAATACATGACCAAACCACCGCAGCTTCTGGTGCTGAGTGTACTCTTCGAATGAACCGAAAACTCGTTTTCTGATTGTTTAGTTGCGGATTCGTTGACATTCGATTACATAAGCTGTGATTTTAAGAGGAGGATTACCGAATACTAAAGACAGCTTAGTCTCGTCGATTGTTGATCCACTTCTCACAGACGTGCAACAAAACAAACAATACCGTAGTTTGATGTACGCGTCCCTTGAGACGTAGCTTCGGAGATAAACATTGTGTCCCACATTCCACAATGTTCCACCTCAAACACTCAGAGGCGCGGTCAAATCTACGTTCCATAGAATGTCCCTGCACTTTGTAGGTACTGTATACATGCCGAAAAAATGGATTACTCTGGTCACTCTGGTTGACAGAAAGCGATGTGCCTAGAAGTTAAAGAGCACTAAGATTGCGGATCGTCCATACGCATGCTACTGCTCTAACACTTGACGGATGGTGGCTGTTCAGCTGCGACACAGCTTCCGCACAACCGGATTGGAGCACAAGGGCTTAGATACCAATTCTAGGCTGCCCAAGCCCAGGCAACAGCAGTCGACAGGCCAGGGTTGGGTTGGAAACATGGAAATTTAAGTCAGTGGCTTCACCCCTTAACCACTGAGCTATCTACAGTGTGAAGCAGTTATATATAAAACTTCCCACCCGAAACGTAACCTGCTGTTCTCGGATCGTGTCTCGAAGCATTCTTGCATACCGACGTACAATGAGCTTCGCAAAGGGTTTTGTCAAAAATTGAGTCAAGCCAATTCCTCTGTGATCGCCAAACTCATTGCGGGCACCTTTTTTTGAAAACAGGCACTACTAGCAGCTGCTGTAGCACCCTTTCGGTGCCTAATTGCCATGTCACCAGAAGGAAGCACGAGATCTGAAATTCTGCAAGGTTGCCTATGCACAGGTGCTCGTCTTCACTCGAATTTTGACAATTCGTCGTTTTGTTGTACCCACTACTGAGAGAATACACACCCCACCCTTGAGAAGGACTAAAGCCTTGTTTAAACTTTAGTGCTTAAGGGGGATTCTCGTATCAGAGACAGCATAAAACAGCATACAACAATAGAAAACGAGTCCGGCAATAGTGGCAATTTTATAACTTGTTCCATATTGCCAGAGCAAACAAGCGTCAGGGCCCAAATAGTAATCCCGAAAAGTATACGGCCGTGGAATCAGAATTAAGCAAGACTAATGAAAGTAACGCCAATGAGCGGCGAACGGGTGCATCGGTCTTTAAGAATGGGCCCGTGAAGAGATAACTAGCGATGATTGGGAAGAAAGAACCGATAGCTGAGAAAGGAAGGGGACGTTAGCAGTGGTTTGTATTCGCTTGTGTGCATGCTGTCGGCGGTACAACATTGTGATGAATTAGCGGAATTCACTCATTTGCAGACCAATTTGGTTTTGACGACTCAACTAGAACACAGCTAAATCCCTCTTTTATGATATTTTTAAGCCACCGGGTGGCCTCATGTTTAAGTTGGCACGATATTCGAGATATTACGATAAGTGTATGGACATAATACACTATGGAGTTTTGTTGAGCATTCTTAACCAATTCGGTGGACGTCATTGCCGCCTCCAGGTTGGCCAAGTACTCCAGATCTGTGGCGTCTTTGATAAGGAGCTGTTTCGAAAAACCAGCTGCTTACCGGAGAGGTTCTTCACCTATGCTTCCTTGTTTTTGTTGCTGTTGTCGTTGCTGGCGACGGAATCATTCTTGCCATTTCCAACCAGTCCCCAGAATAGCGAAATATACTCATTTGTAAACCAATTTGGTTTTGTGAGAGAATCACCTGGTACCCAGCTAAATTTCTCGTTTATGTCTCTAAGCAACTGAATGTGCTGTACCAGGCCACCAAATGTTACGATATTCGATATTGCGATGCACGTATACACGTAATCCACTACTCATGAGGTTGCTGAAGAATTTTCAGCAACCTTATGAGTAGTGTATTACGCTTTCCAGAATAGTTTTCTTGGTTCCAGCAGAGGATCTGACTCTTTGTTCGAATGCTCTACTGAGATTTTATAGGAGATCCGGTGCAATCATTTTCAAACAAGTCTCCTTTTCTTCTACGACGACCCTTTCATACTTCCTGATATGGTCATGCACATCCCTTCCCATGAGTTTAACCTCGCAAGCTCCCAGGTCTATGGGTAATTAATCGGTGGTCGATAGGTTACGCAACGTGGAAGCGGTTCCGCCAGCAATAATGGAGGAAGCGTAGTCGTTGTCGCATGGAGGCTGACTGGTAGGCAAAAATACCCCATCGACAAGCTGTTTTGAGCATGGAATGCCCGAAATTATCGGTAGTTATTAATACCATTATCCCAATACCTAGAAGTGAATATTTAAAACTTATGGGAACGAAACACAAAATTATGACAGCAAATCATGAAACTATTTTGCATTTAAGTAGCATTGTACCCGCGAAGAGCTACGTCATGTAAATGCTTGAGGTTCAGAAACAAACACCTTGGGTTCATTTTGACTCCGGAATTAACCGAAGATAAAGATTATCCTCATGATAAAAGCTGAATCACAATGTTTGAGTAGCTGTAACTGACACTGTCAGACGCAATGGAGTCAAGCGGAGAGGCGCTACACCTCCACAGGCAGAAGCAGACAAACGAAGCGAGGATAGCACCTGATGAAAGACATCGTTTGGAATGATATTTCCGTTCTGCTTAGCTTGTACAGGCTTGGGTTTCGAGTATATAGTAATATTTCATTGAGTAAGCATATACTGTGGTGCGTCCAGCTACTTGTCTTGAGTGGAATGAACTGGATTTCGGTTTAGATAGGTAGCGAAATATGGTCAAGATAACATCGTCCATGGTTGAGTGTTATGCTTGAGATTTGAAGCCTTTTCGACCTAGTTACTGGAGTATTTGTTAGCGTAGAGGATTCACAACACAAGGAGAAAAGAACTAGGAAAATCATCTAGGAGGTGCCTCTTAGGTGAAGGTAACTTAGAGGTAATGATGTTTCCATAAAGGAATCTGGAATTGTCAAAACTCTCCTTCTCTGCACATCTTCAGCACAGTTACCAGTTAAACCACAGTTTACGTCTCCATACTTGAGGGTATGAGACTTCCCTTTAGTGACAACGGCCTAGGTGCGAGATGGTTCAAGTGGCTAGAGCACGAATTTACTGACCGGAATGTCCGTGGTTCGAACCCGACCTCTGCCTCTCGACTTCCCTGTCTAGGTTTGGGCAACCTGACAGTATCCCAGCCCTCGTGCTTCCTTCGGGTGGCATGGCAGCTAGGCACCGAAAGGGTGCTACAACTGAACGATTATTATTTTTATTAATCGCCTAGGTTTTCGTAAGTTGACATGTAGCTAGTAACACCACCCACGAAATAAGCGTTACATTCGGTGTGCAGTGATCCACCGAGACAGACTACCATGGGAAAACGCTAATGTGTATCTCTCGCGAATACCTCGAGGTAACTTAGGTGTGAACTTACTGTGACCGGAAGATCCGTGGTTCGAACCCAAACTCGGCATCTCGACAGCTCTTATCTATGACTTGGCAACCTGGCAGTACCTCAGCCATACTGCCTCCTTCGGGCAGTATACCAACTACCTACCGAAAGAATGCTATATCTGAACCACTGAGGATGATCCCTGAGAATAGTGCTGGACAAGACTTTATATCATACTTCAAGATGGTGTCCTGTTTCAATCGTCATGGTTTTACTGTCCAGGCAAAATGGAACAATCGCAACACGCATGGGGAGCAAAGAATACGATGAGCTGATGGAACCATTGATCACAATTCAAAGACTGGACATCGGTGTAATTTCAGAAAATCCTACTCTCTCTCTCTCTCTGATGGATTCGTCCTTTGTTCTTGAGAGAAGATAACATTTGGATGGTCTATCCAGAGACCGACAACTGTACTTTAGTTCGTTCACTACGAATAGTCTCATCCACGAAAATGCACAGACGATGCGTTCACCAAAGGACAATTCGCTATTACCATTAACATAAAAATTAAGGACAGGACTGGAGGCATTTGGTCACAGAGGGCAAGTGTCAGAAACTCACCAAGCTGGGTAAGATTCGTAAAATCGTCTAAGAGCTTTTTGATGACGTTTGCCACGGACATGGGTTCGCCATTGATAGAGGCCTCCCATCCCACCAGTGCCACAAACTGAACACACATGTACACTGAAGTGGGTAAAAGTTAGAACGTGAAGGGGGCAACGTATACAGTGGTTTTCTGAGAGCACGCTGTCTCCGTTCATAACGTACGTGATGTTCAGCCGAAACATTGTGCATCAGACTTGCCTAGATGACAAATGAAGTTCAAAAACCCTGACTGAATACTAACCTTCTTGGACGTAAACGCCATGTCACACACTTCACATCGACCTACATGGGATACATTCACATCCATATTTCGGTATGAAGAATGACTGCTAAAAGGGATGAGAAAAGTACCCATTAGTATCCATTAGGGATGTTACTGGCAAGGCGAGGCTACACAACTACCAGTAGGGTTTGAAGTAGCAGCTTGCTAATTCAAAAACGGTTTGCGTCCAAGGAATCAAAGTGATCGGAATGCAGCATCATCATCATCATTATCAGCTGTAATAACCGCGTACTGGTCGTACACTGGTTG